CTGGGACCGAGCGGGGCTGTGGTGGGGGCCGCGGATTGTGAGGGGTGGCAGGGGCTGTAAGCGGCCATGGAGGGGCTGTGAGGGGCCGTGAGAGCTGATGGAGGGGTGGTGAAGGTGGCTATGAGGGCTGTTGGGAGCTTTGGAGGAACAGGAGGTTGTGAGGAGTGACAGTGAGGGAGGTGCAGGTCCAAGCTGAGGGAGTGTGGGAGGTGATGAAGACTGAGAGGGGTGATAGGGACTGTGAGGGTGGCAGTGAGGGCCAGTGTGGGGCAGACAGGGTGGCTGGGGCAGTGTTTTGATAAGAGGATAGAAATTTGGTGGAAAAGAAACCCCTCGTGAGCCAGCTGGTCATAAGAGATCAGAGAGGGTGAGGGTAGCTGGGTTTAATCTCTGATTAGAACCAGTTTGGCATTATAAGTGGTTGTGTTCAATAGGAACTTCCATGAGCACAGGTTCTCAAACAGGAAGGGCATGTTCAACACTGAGTCTGGTAATGTTAAATAGAACTTTCACCATCACAGATTCATGAATAGTGTGGTTTATTGAAGCAGCAGAAATGCAAGGGGGAATGGAAAGGGAGGGTAACTGTAAGGTAATAGGTCTTGATTAGATTTTTAGAATAAATTCTTTACTCAGAGGATGGGGAGGACCTGGCACAGATTTCCCAGAGAGGTTGTGGCTGCCCCATGCCTGGAAGTGTCCAAGACCATGTTGGATGGGGCTTGGAGTAACCTGGGATAGTGGAAGGTGTCCCTGGCCATGGCAGGGGATGAAACTGAATGAGCTCTAAAATCCCTTCCAACCCAGAACCGTTCTGAGATTCCAGGATTCTATGAAATACAGATTTGGAATTGCCCTAGATGGATGTACTAGCTGTGATAGTGTTCTAACAGTATTGATAATATAGTGTTAGCCCAGGTAATAATCATCATCATCTTATGAAGCTTACAATGAATGCATGGGAGGAAGGAGAGGAGAGTAGTAGCCCATCAGCTGTTTGAGGTCCTTTTGGGTATTCCTCCTAACTACATGCAATTTGTACCCTCCTTATATACAGCCCAATCTTATCGCCCTGCTCCTTCTTCACATAGACCATAATCTAAGCAGAGATCAGCATAGTACAGTAATGTATATGGGACTAATGTACTTAATTAAGGCAATTAGCATTTGCAGGGTTGTGCATTTTAATATCTAAATCACTTTTAATCAGGAAAAAGTTGTTTGTGATTTTTGGGGGTTTTTTTTGTTTTGTTTTGTTATGGCGTCCTTCTACATTCTGGTCATACAATTTTGTTCTCATTTGCTTCATTCTTCAGAGCCAGAGCAGGATCATCACATCTCCACAGGCCCTGTTCCTTCAGGGCCTTTCCTGATGTCAGCTATGCAGCTTGCCATCCACAGAGGGTACACAGCATAGACTATAGATATTAAGCATTAAACCTTGCTAGGCTCCTTGGTCATCATCCCAAAGACAGCAGTCCTGCATGAGGAGAACTCGGGTTGCGCTTCTTCCCTAGGGTCTGGGAAAAGCTCAGTGCATATACTAGTAACAATTGTTGCTTTAGGAAAGCTTTAAAATCTGAGTACTTTTGTGCTCAGTAACAATGTGTCTGGGGTTTTTTTTTGCAAAGCCTTCAATGGCCAGGACAGAAATTGCTTCATTTTAAAGATGAAGGATTTCTATTTGTTTATTTGACTTGGCTTGGCAGTAGTGTTCTGTTTATGACTGGATAAATAAATGCCACATTAAAGATTATTAACTAGCAATGCTTCAGTGGCCAATAAAGCCGTAATCTTTTATATGGTGTTGTATATGTACACAACTTGGTACAGCTGGGTCTTGCCAAAGAGATAACAAATCCCTTACCTGGAAGGTATACAATCTAAAGGAAACCACAAAGGACCACAAGGAAAGTACAAAACATGATAATGAAACATAAAATACACAGAAGACTTAGAGCCATTTGCAGCTGCATTTTAAATAGGGTCTTAAGAGGGTGCTTTGTATTTGCCTTAAAACTACTGAGCGGTGGTTTTAAGCAAGATAAAATCCCAGAGTGGTTTGGGTTGGAAGGGACCTTAAAGCCCATTCAGTCCCACCCCGTGCTGTGGGGAGGGACACCTTCCATTAGATCAGATTGCTCCAAGCCCCTGCTCTTGAACAGTTACAGGGATGGAGCAGCCACAGCCTCTCTGGGCAACCTGTGCCAGGGCCTCAGCACCCTCAGTGTATAAACTTTTTCCTAATACCTTGTCTAAATCTCCCCTCTTTCAGTTTAAAACCATCCCCCCTTTTACTGTTGCTACAGGCCCTACTGAAAAGCCTGTGCTCACCTTTCTTACAGACCCCTGTTAAGTCCTGCAGGCAGACACAACAGCCACTGTGCTGTGACAAATGGTTAGTGGGGTCTCAGGCAGTGTTGTGTCCCTGCCTCTGGCATTGGCCAGGCAGGGCAATCCCACTGCTCCAAAGCACGCCTAAACTCCAATTTGGGGGGAAGCAGTAAGCAGTCCTTGTAATATGCTTCCTTCAAGGTTTCCTTGTGACTGGCTAATACTACTGTGGACAGCAGTGAGCTCATGTCATGGAGCATGAGAATCATTTCCAGAAGTTGTGATGACAAATCACTTGTTTATCCAAATATAAATTGGAAATATAATACATTATTTTATATTCACTTGTGTTTGATTCTGCAGGGTCATAGAGGGCACTTCCACACACGTAAAGCATTATGTTCTTTAAGCTAAATGAAGCTGAGCTAGCAAGGAAAGCAGGTTTAAAAGAGGATGAAAGTAGATGGAGAGGTGTGAGGAGGAAGTGTGGGCAGCATTTGCTAAGATGATGAAAAGCTTTCATCTGTCTTCAGCACTTACAGATCCTTTCACTGTAGTATGTAAGACCCATGTATTTTGCACACTTGGGCTCATGGTGTCCCTCTGAGGCAAAGCAGTGCTGGTATTCTCATGTCCCTCCCAGGAAACTGCAGCAGACACAGTGTGTTCACATGGGGAAGAAAAAGCTGTGATTGACAGGCTTTGGAAAAGCAAGAGCAGGCACGGGGAGAGGGACCAGACTTGCAGAGTTTCTCTGCTTAAATGTGGACCATGACTGGAGCTGAACATACTGTTTAGCCAGACAGCTGTTCTCAGTGATCCGAAAGTAGGAATAATTGAAGGCTCTCTCCAAACTTCTGTCCTGATGCTCAGTGGCCCCTTATTGAGGGATATTTTAGGAGTATAATGGTGACTAAAGCCTCTGCATGCCTTATTGTTTTACCTAATTCCAGTACTCTGTGGAATAGCCCTAGAGGGATAGAATTCAAGGAGGCAGAGCTAAGATAAAGGGCACAGAGATAAGATCAGTGTGGGGAAATCTTTCAGGAGAGGGGCCTGTGTGAATGCAGGATAAAAGGAGACAACAGTGTGTGTAGTTGGTGGTGAAAATGGCAGATGACGGGCAGAGTGGATGCTCTGTGCTGTAAAGCTTTGGAGCCTGCATGGCTATATGAGTAATCTCCACCAACCTACGTTCAGGCTATTGGACTGCCTGTGACTGCGAGAGAGAAGGTGAAGACCTTGCTTAAGTATCTGGCTGATGGCTCGTGGAAAACATGTTTGAAAGCATCTACAGCCCTTCCTGGAGGAAGATGTTCATTACTGGTGCTATACAGAATCCAAGGAATGCCAAGGCTCTAAATCCTAAACTCTGCAGTGGTTCAAATAAAGAGCAGGACCTGGTAAGCTTTCAGGCATGGTGGGCAGTGAGTCTACAGAGGCTTTCTAGAGATGAAAGAAAGATCTTTGTTTATATCTAACTAGGTGTTGGGGGTTGGGTGTCCTTCCTTTTGTTCCATCTCACCTATGGAATTTTTTGCCCATTAGTTGCAGGGAAACCTGATTGCTGGTACTTCTAAAGTGCTTGGAAAACCAGAGAGTTCAGCTGGGCCTGGGGAGGGCAGGGGCAGCTGGGGGCTGGCTGTCTTCTTGAGCTAGAGAGCGAGACACTCTCAGAGCTGTTGTGGCTTGGAGAAGGGAATTTGCCATCATCCAGATGGAGCTGCTGCTTCTCCTTCTTTCTTCTGTGTTGGTGGGCCTCACACCCCCTGCCCTGCCAGGACATGGCAGTGCCAGGCACCGTCATGGAGCTGCTGATCCACCTCAGCCACCGGCCCGGGATCTCTGCTCATCCCTGCTGTTCCAGCCAACTGTTCCTCAGAGCCCTGCAGGAGCACCGAGACTGCCCACCCGAGGGGGTATGTGAAGCAAAGCCTCTCCTCCACCCCTTCCCGTCTTGGCCGAGACAGCTGCCACGGGGTCCCTGGTTCTGTTTTGCTGCTAGTGCTGTAGTTATTGTTGTTTGTTTGCCTTGTTATACATACTAATAAAGAACTGTTATTCCTATCCCCATATCTCTTCCTGAGAGTCCTTAATTTCAAAATTATAGTCATTTAGAGGGAGGGGGTCTACATTTTCATTCCAAGAAAGGCTTCTGCCCTCCCTACCAGACACCTGTTTTCCAAACCAAGACAGATTTCGGTGCCCAATGTGGGGCCCAAGAGCACTGAGAGAAAAACGGTGCAAAAGAAATACCAGTTCTTAAATAACCTAATTATTTTTGTTCTGAATATACCTTGTTAAGTGACATCATGTGGTCTAGGTTACCCAGGTTTGAGTAGCATGTGGTCATGGCTGTACTTCTCCCATTTGCAGGCCCTTATCTAAACAGAGGTCCTATAACTAAGGCTGTTATTCAGATTGTTTTATGGGTTAATAAGATGAGAAATTAATGAATTTTTAACTTTTTCTGTGTTGTAAATAGCTCACCACAATCGGGTTGGGCAATCAATAAGGCAATTTATTAATTAGTTGATAAGGGATGAGCAAGCAGTGCTGGGGATGCCGGGAGCGTCCATCCCACCAACACGTCACCTTACCCCCACCCTCTGCCTCTTTCATAGGCAGTTTCTTGTTGGGCTGTGCCTGCTATGCTGGGGTACAAGTCTGGGAAAGCCCAAACATGCGAGCAATCTCCCCAGCAGAAGTGGCTGCAAGCCCCCACCAGGTCTGGACAAAGCTCCAACGTGTGGCCAGGTTACACTCCTAGCAAGCAGGAAACAGCAGTGACAAATTTTTACATGATTGCACAAGCCTGCTGTTTCTCTATACATAAGGAGTGGGTACAATTCATAATTAAAGCAATTATATAGTGGCAAAAATACATAACAGCAAAAGCTAGCAATTCACAGAAAAGGGATTTAAACAAAAATAATGAAATCATTGTATCTTCCTTTGTCTCATGTCCATGTTTTACTTTAAGATCAGTATTCCTGTTTATACTGATAATGAAATCATTGTATCTTCCTTTGTCTGATGTTCATGTTTTACTTTAAGATCAGTATTCCTGTTTATACTGATCCCATGGTGTTTCCATAATGACATGAATCATTATGTAACATCTCACACTCTGGAAGGTGGGCACATGGTTTCAGAGATATCACACACTAACTGCATGTTTTTGGGGTTACTTCAATAATGGTACCTACTGGGAGAAAATGATGCCAGGAGAAATTTTCCCCCAACCCTTTACCCAGCTCTTTGGGTCTACTCCACCAGTTTTTGAAGGGTTCACTAAATCTAATATCATACAGTGGCCGGTGTTGCTGATAGGCCTGTTCTATTTAGCATTCAGAGATAAGGGGAGATTGACTTGGATAGCCACCCTGACACCTTCCCCAGAGAATAGAGGTGTTGCTCCAGAACCTGGCCCTGCCTCACAGCCCACCTCAGAAATGAACCACCCAGAGTGGGTGGGGGTTCTGGTGAAGGAGATGCGTGAGATGCTAAAGGAGTGCATTTCCTCGGCTGCTGAGAAACTCTCCCCCTGCCTCAAAGAGGGAGAGTCTGATGGTGCTGCAGTGGAACCCACAGACGTTACAACCATCCAGGTTCCAGCTGAACCACAAGGGCAGTCACAGCCAGCAGCAGTTGCCTCTGTGGAAATGAGGAAGCCTAAGATGAAATCAGAGGATAAGAAAGGAGGGCCCTCACAACCCACAGGGGAGACAGAGGTTGAGATCATCACCGAGTCCCTGATGCATGACTGGCTCTGTAATCTGCAAAAAGACATTGTGAGACAGGGGTGTGAGGCTTATACAACCTGGTTACTTCAATTCTGGGACCTTATGGGTACAAGAGTGCAAGTGGATGGTGGTGAGACAAGGAATTTGGGACCCTTAACCCAAGACTCAAGTTTAATCAAGTGTTTGTAAGGGAGCCAGGGCCCCTTTCCCTCTGGGAGTGGCTCTTAATGAGTGTAAGAGAGAGGTTTCTCCACAGAGAGAGAATGGAGGAGCACCATGATAAAATGCACTGGAAAACCCTTGAGGAAGGGAACAGCTGAGAGAAGAGTCCTTTTTAGAAGGGGTAGACAGCATGATAATGACCCCGACAAAGTCAGGTGCACTGGGCAGATGTTGTGGAGTCTGGCAAATCTAGGGACACGTGAATACATCACCTTCATTGCGACGATTAACGCCGATAACAGCCGAGAGAAGGTGGTTCTGTCGCCACCAGGCTTAGAAATTATGAGAGTATGATCCATGGCCAGCTGTAGGCTCGGGTCTTTGCTGTAATTAAGGAGGTGAGGGAGATAAAGGAGGAGGTGAAGAGGAACAGCTCCCATATAGTACCAGTGTGAGTCACAGGCCCCAAACTCCATGCCCAACATCCCTCAGCTAGAGAGAGAGGGTACACACCATGAACTGAGCTGTAGTTCTTTCTGCATGACCATGGGGAAGACATGGGAAAGTGGGATGGGAAACCCACTTCTGTCCTGGCAGCACAAGTGCGTCAACTCAGAGAGGGAACCAGTAACCAGAAAAGTTCTGCTAAAGTGAAGGTAGCCTCAACCTCCCGTGACCAAACTGGCAGATATTACAGAAAAGAGGATGATCTGTCAGATCCCCTTGAAGGAACCTCTAGCATGTATGCCCAGGGAGGAGGGGACAACAGTGCTTGAGGGGCCCTGCCTCTAGCCATGAAGAGGCACGGGTCTTTTGGACGGTGTGGATCCGATGGCCTGGCACATCAGAGCCACAAAAATACGAAGCTTTAGTTGATACTGGTGCACAGTGTACCCTAATGCCATCAGGACATGTGGGGGCAGAACCTGTTTCCATTGCTGGGGTGACGGAGGGATCGCAGCAGTTGACTCTGTTGGAAGCCGAGGTGAGCCTGACTGGGAAAGAGTGACAGAAACATCCCATTGTGACTGGCCCAGAGGCCCCGTGTATTCTGGGCATGGACTTCCTTCGAAATGGCTATTACAAAGACCCAAAAGGACTCAGGTGGGCTTTTGGAATAGCTGCTGTGGAGGCACAGGACATTAAGCGATTGAACACCTTTCCTGAACTATCAAATAACCCATCTGTAGTAAGATTCCTGAGGAGGGACGAGCAACGAGTACCAATTGCCACCTTGATGGTGCATCACCAACAGTATCAGACGAATCAAGATGCTGTGATCCTCATCCACAAGATGATCCAGGAGCTGGAGAGACAAGGGATGGTCAGCAAAACCCACTCACCCTTCAACAGTCTTATTTGGCCTGTGCACAAGTCTGACAGAGAATGGAGATTGACTGTGGACTATTGTGCATTGAACGAAGTGACTCCATCTCTGAGCGCTGCCGTGCCGGACATGCTGGAGCTCCAGTACAAGCTGGAGTCCAAAGCAGCGAAGTGGTATGCCACTATTGACATTGCCAATGCATTTTTCTCCATTCCCCTGGCAGCAGAACGCAGGCCTCAATTTGCCTTCACGTGGAGGGGAGTGCAGTACACCTGGAACCGATTGCTCCAGGGGGGGAAGCACAGCCCCGCCATCTGCCATGGACTGATCTGGACTGCACTGGAAAAGAGTGAGGCTCCAGAAAATCTGCAGTACATTGATGACATCATTGTGTGGGGGAACACGGCAATGGAAGCATTTGAGAAAGGAGAAAAGATCATCCAGATTCTGCTAGAAGCTGGCTTCGCCATCAAGAAGAACAAAATCAAAGGACCTGCTCGAGAGATCCAGTTCCTGGGAGTAAAGTGGCAAGATGGACGGCATCAGATTCCCACTGAGATCGTCAATAAGATCACTGCAATGTCTACACCCACCAGCAAGAAGGAAACGCAAGCTTTCCAAGGTGCCATAGGTTTTTGGAGGATGCACATTCCTGAGTACAGCCAGATCGTGAGCCCTCTCTACCTGGTTACCTGAAAAAAGAATGATTTCCACTATGGCCCTGAACAGCAGCAAGCCTTTGCTCAGATCAAACAGGAGATGAGTAGCCCCTGGCCCAGTCAGAACTGGACCAGACGTGAAGAACGTGCTCTACTCTGTAGCTGGGAACAATGGCTTGTCCTGGAGCCTTTGGCAGAAAGTGCCTGGAGAGACTCGAGGCCGACCACTGGGATTCTGGAGCCAAAGCTACAGAGGGTCCGAAGTCAACTACACTTCCACAGAAAAGAAAATCTTGGCCACCTATGAAGGAGTTCAAGCTGCCTCAGAGGTGATTGGCAGGGAAAGGCAACTCCTCCTGGCACCCCGACTACCAGTGCTGGGGTGGATGTTTAAATGAAAGGTTCCTGCTACCCACCACGCCGCCGACGCTACATGGAGCAAGTGGATCGCCCTCATCACGCAGCGCGCCCGTATTGGAAACCCGAATCGCCCTGGGATTTTGGAGATAATTACAAACTGGCCGGAAGGTGAAAACTTTGGTCTCACTGATGAAGAGGAGCAGGAACAAGTGACACGGGCTGAAGAAGCTCCACCGTACAACCAACTGCCAGCAGAAGAAACACGCTACGCTCTGCTCACTGATGGTTCCTGTCGCATCGTAGGGATGAACCGGAAGTGGAAAGCAGCCGTATGGAGCCCCACACGACAGGTCGCAGAGGCCACTGAAGGAGAGGGTGGATCAACTTGCTGAACTCAAAGCTGTTCAACTGGCCCTGGACATTGCTGAAAGAGAGAAGTGGCCAAAACTCTACCTCTACACGGATTCATGGATGGTAGCCAATGCTCTGTGGGGATGGCTGGAAAG